ACCCTGCGGCGACGTCTGCGGCGAGATCTCGGTGTCGCCGTCGCCCGAGCCCGGCTCGCCCTTCGTCTTGTTCTCCTTCTTCCACTTCATCCGTCTGTTTTGAAACCAAATTTTGATTTGCCGCTCCGTCAGGCAGAGCGCGTGCGCGATCTCGATGCGCCGCCGCCTGGTCAGGTATCTGTTGAAGTGGAACTCCTTCTCCAGCTCCAGGGTTTGGTATCGGGTGTACGTTTGCCGGCCTCGTTTCCTTTCTGCAACATCAATAGACAACCGGGTTTCTTAGTCTTCCTTTGTTATCAGAAATTGAAACAGTGTGTTTGGCAATTCCTCGTGACATTCAAATTGATTTCTCGGTTCGGGGGAAGCGGTTCGGTTTCATGATCGACAGGACGATCCGAGTGTCGGAGATCGGAGAATGTAGGGTTCGGTTATCTGAACGAGAGGTAATGGACCGTGTTTGCACGACGAAAGTGTCGTTTGACAGTCGCGATAACGACGGAGAGAATCTCGGTTGCATAAATGGAGTTCTCTTGTAGCGACATTGGAAAACCTTCAGACCTCTATCTCTACCTATTCGCCATCTTCTAGAAACTCGTCACCCCTTTGTTACAATATTTATCAAAACAGAGACGACATGCTCTAACAATAACCATTTGCCTATAAATACCACGCGTCTCCTATTTATAACTAACCAAAATACTTCCTATCATCTCTAAACCACAAAATGGCCGTTCGAGCGTCACACAAAATATCCCCAATTATCCACAACGATATCCCTTCAAAACAATGAGCAAATCCAATACTCAACAATGAAACAAAGACGCCTCAGGATCACCTTCGTCCGGCTGCGAGGCGCAGTAAGCCGGTGATCCCCGATACTCAGCAAACAGCCGCGCAACCTGCTCGAGCGCGCGGGGTTAAAGTTTCCGCGGCGGCGCGTCGAAACAAAAATACCTGTCCCAGCGTGCAAAAATGCAAGCAAAACGAGCATTCTGCTCGTGGCCAGCGGTTCGTTGGCGCAGTTCCGCGTATGATAGATACCGTACAGATATCCGTGACATGATCTGCGCTCGGTGTGGCGGTACACGAATCCCGAACAAGAATATTAATTGTGCTCGCGAAGGGAGCAAGGGAAAGGGTGAGGAGCTTCGGAACACAGAGAGCCGAGCGGTCCGAGCGTCTTCGTGTTACACCTACTTACGATACACGTAACACGTGCGCGCGCGCGTGTGTATGTGTGTGTGTGTATAAGACGCTTCGCACTGTCTCGCCGAGGCATAATCTGAAAGGGTTAGGTTAGGCAGGCTCTCGCCACACGAGCGCGCGGGAGAGGGCAAAACGAGGAATATTTCAGCGTTGGTACGGGGGAGGGAAGAAAAAGGAAGAGGGAGGGCGCAGGCATGAGCAACGGGGAGAGCCGTGGGAGGAGGTCGAGGAAAGAGGAGGAGAAAGAAGAAGAAGAAGAAAACTCCTTGGTGAGCATTCGAGGCAAACGCCGCCCGTCGCGCTGTCGGCCGATGAAGACGGATGGCGGCTCTCCGGAGGAGAGAGAGACGGAGAGGATTCTTCGAGGGTTTTCTGCGTCCCTCGCAGGCCGGCCTGGACCGAGGTCCCGGGGAGCGAGAGCGGCTCTGGGAAGATGCCCTCTTGCACCCTCCCTCGGGCTACGGTCTCAAATTAACAACATACCAATCCCCGGATTCCTCGGTTATCATTTTTGAAACGTTCCGATGGCGACTTTGGACTATTTTAAGAATGGTACAGTTTCAATGGTGTCCGTTGGATTCGGAGGAGTATTGATTCTTGGTTGGATGACGACCTAATGGCGGCTTAATGGCGACTGGGTTTGTAATATTGAAAGTGAATTAGATATTTGTTTGGATGACGAGGGATGTATGTGGTTGGTTCTTGTGTATTTAAGAGTTTGATGTGTTTAGTTCGTTTGTGGGAAAAGATTTTAGTTTGAGAATTTATTGGAGTTAATTTGGATTGGTTTGGTAGGTGTACAATTTTTTCGGATTTAATTCGGGGCATGGTATCGATTGCAAGAACCGTTCTCGACGGCGCAGTAAACAATCACCACAATCTGTAAACATCTCGGAAGCTCGCCGAGGTATCCGATGATATTGATTGTCCACTAAGTGCGCGTCAATTTGAATAACACCGCGCGATCAATTGAGGGAACCGAAATAGGTGGCGGCGCGGCGACCAGGTTCCCGCGGAGTCGGAGTTTCTAGCTGGCCAATCAAAGGATGCACACGGTGATAAACATAGATCCGTAGTCCCATCAGAGCGTCTGAGGAGCCTCCACTTGGCCGCGCGACTTATTAATGTTCATTCGTCAGACGGTTAATGAAGGTGCCTGTTGCAGGCCGGTCCACGTTCTGACCCAGAAGATCATCAAAGCGTGTTCACGGAATAATGAAACGGATCGCAGTCACGCTCCAGTCTGCGCCGATTAGTTCACGCCTCTTTATCGATAACAGGCTTATTACCTAATCGCGAGGGAGCCGCGGACGAATGATTTACGAGTGTTTCTGCGATACTCGACGCCAGAAACTACCGTGAAATTACGGTGACTCGTTCTGAATTCACTGCGAAAACCGGGGAGTTGCGTTTCTCGAAATTTCAGGGACTTTCAAATTTTCAAATTTCCAGATTTTCAACTTTTCAACTTTTAAAAATTTCCAGGTTTTCAACTTTACAACTTTTCAAATTTCCAGATTTTCAGCTTTTCAAATTTCCAGATTTTCAACTTTTCAACTTTCCAAATTTCCAGATTTTCAATTTTTCAACTTTTTAAATTTACAAATTTACGAATTTATGAATTTACGTATTTATGAATTTACGAATTTACGAATTTACGAATTTGCGAATTTACTAATTTACGAATTTACAAATTTACAAATTTACAAATTTACAAACTTACAAACTTACAAACTTACAAACTTACAAACTTACAAATCTACAAATCTACAAGTCTTCAAGTTTTCAAATGATCGAATTATTGAATTTTCAAACTATCCAACAGTCAAACCTCGAAATCAACAAATCAATTCACCCGGCAGTCCTACAATGAAAGCCACGGAGTCACAATTATGAGCCGTCTAATTAATTGGCAGCAAACCGGTCAAGAGGTTCGCGGCAGACATGGTGGCTCTGAACGCGGTCGTTGACTGATTCCCGGTACTGGTAAACGCGCCGCTGCCACCCTATTAAACTTCGTTTGTCCTACGGAGAACGAAGATAATATCGGAAGAATGCACCAGTTTCGGAACGTAAGCTCGTTAAGCTACTCCTCGAGCGGACCAGCCGCGGGAGCGGTCTAAATTCCGCGGTAATGCGGATCAGCGAGTTTTCCCGACGTGAAATTTCTGTTAAACCGACGATAGAAGTCGGTTACTCGGTCCGGGAGATCGCTCGGACACCTCGGGCGTTGAGAAAGCACCGTTTCGGATAAAGTTCGACTAGAGCGACTATTATCCTAATAACCAGGTAGCCGAAGAATATTGGCAATATCCTTCCTCGTTTAAATATTCCGCGTTTTTGCCGGTGGAAGTCGATCGATACGGTTCCCGGGAAGCACGTGAATCTTGATCGCGGTCCCGGACCTGGTTTCGCTGGATTAGACATTGGACAATCCACTTTTTCTCGGGCGGCATGCGGGCTTAATTAGGGAGGCGTTCTGCGCTCGATAACACGGCCGTAATGGCGATACGTGCGGAAAATCACTGGTGCACCGTGGACTCGATGCATTTATAGCGGATAAGAGTTACTCTGAAACTCGATATAATGAAAACTTGAATGAAGCGTAATGGCAGTTTTATTTTCCTCGGATACGAACGGAACTCTTGATTAAGGGGTTTGCTGGATAAGTGACCGTTTTACGAATTCGGATCGACCGATGAATGGAATTACTTATTAAACCGCGGACCTTTCTCTCTCTCTCACGGACGTTCGCGGGAAACGTAGGAAATTTCATAGAATTTCAAGCTTTCCTCGCAAATAATCTGAAAAGCGGGTCTACGAGTAACATGAAATTTCAAAGGATGTCTATGATTATTGCTAATAAGGAACGCTGGAAGACGGATGATTACAATCGGCCCCAGAAAACGGCAATCTCTCGCCGACAAGTGGCCATAATCGATGGCAGTAACGGAAGTTTTAAAACACCAGACGTAAAACTCTGTTGCGCTACGGGTTCGTGATCCCTTCCAACGAAAGCACCGGATTTGCATAAAAGTCCTCCGGTCCACTTATCAACGACACGTTTTCGCTATCAGAGGTCTCTTGAAAAATTCCGCCGGATCAACGGTAATGAATTACGAGCGTATGCACGTGTGCGTGTTTTTTTTCTATCGAAAGCAAGGCGCCGCGGCGCGAATGCCGTGGTAACAATATTAGTTTCGATCCTAGGCGCACGAGAGTCCTTGAGACGGTGCGAAAGCGTTATCCGCGCGCGTGATCTCCGGCAAATTAATCACCGGCCGGGTGCCGCAGCCTTACCGAGCCTCGAAAGAATTTCACGGTGTTTTCATCGTGCGAGCACGTCGTGGGAAACACGGGCGCGGCGGGGCAAGGTGCGCGAGATTTTCTTTTTCCCCGCTGATCGGAGCAGCTGGAACAACGTCGATGCCGGAGCTGGTTGCACGAAGAAATACTAGGGGATACTCGAAAACTGAATTTTGTCGAGTAGCAGGGACACATTCAGATGACCCACTGATTTCAGTGAATAGATATTTTTATTCCTTAGTATTCCTGAATTTTAGACATATACTTGTGTTGATCATAGTTTACATCGAACAGGTGGAAATTCTAGAAATTAGAGGTGGGACATCTGCTTAATAGAGTATCTTGAGACCATAGCCAATAGTCTTCTTTAAACACCCTATCAAGTACCTCCAAAAACCATAAATCTCCCAGAACTAGCAAACGATGCTACAACAAGCGAGAAAAGAAGCACTTTACGAAGACGTAAACTCCAAAACATCAAAGTGCTCGAACGACTTAGCTGCAGAAAACTGAACCACAACAGAAACAAGAAAGTCCTACTTCCGAAAACAGTATCCCAAGAACGTGCCATTTATTCTATCGAAGTATGACCGAAAACCGGGGCACAACTCGCGAGGCGTGTTAAAGAGGTCGATAACAAGAAAACCTGGCCCCGCGGTACCCTCGGTTTATGCTGAACTGGCGTTCTGATGCCGGCGTTGCCGGTGCTCTCGCGGACGGAGGTGACTTTAAACGCGGG